CCCTTAGACTAGCTTTCCTCTAGAAGAAGTGTTGCATGAGCGGTTGCATAGGGTTCCAGCACCCAGGTTTATGCTGGATAACCAGAGCAGTGCATGGTCAGGCTAAAAATCATGCCTGCACACACGTCCCTTGGAGTGGCTAATCGAGTTCAGACATAAGCATTTTACATGAAGTAGCTAAGCAAAGCTGTTTAAAGAGAATGGGAATACCATAAATATGTTTTGTGATCATTTTATTGATACACATAAAATAATATCACTTCTCTTATGCAATGGTGAACAAAATTAGTTTACTGTAATCGACAACTTTGTTCGATTGGTATGAGAATTGGTTCTCCCAACAATTTTCCTGAAACTACACTGAGTCCAGCTGCTGCTTCGGTGGCTAAGGTTGCTGCTAATATCACTTCTGTGAAAAAAAAAAAATCTTAAGGAACATTTATTTGTAAAAAATAAGTAGAAAAGATATTATAAAATAGAATATTATCTACCCACCACTGTTGTAGTTGCTCAATTGCAAAGGTATGAGTATGAATCAAAGTGTCCCCGTCTGCTATTAGCAACAAAAGAGCAAGTGATGAATCTTTTTACACGAGAAAAAGTCTGCCCAAGCATATTAGCTTACATTTATACACTTATTGATGTGTGATACTTAAATTTTTCACTCTTACTAAATTTTATTTGAGTGTTCATTAGCTTAACAACTGTAAAGGCATAAGCTAATGGTCTTGTTGTCCAAAATTGTTACTTGTCGAGCGACAGAATTTTTTACCTGTTTTCTTAGGTCTGTATGTATTTTTAGCTTGTATATGCCTTGAACGCGTTACTCAGACATTCGCATCTTACCTGGAATAGGTAAGCAAAGCGGCTTAAGAAGATGGGGATAAGAAATCAACACCAATAAATACGTTTTCTAATCATTTTATCAATACACATATAATATCACTTTTTCTATGCGGCGGTGAACAAAATTGGTTGATTCTGATCGCCAACTTTATAAAACTTTATGAGAACCGGTTCCCCCAACAAGTTTTTCCGAACCTGCACTGAGTCTGGCTGCTGCTTCAGTGGCTAAGGTTTTTTATTATTTTCTTTTTTGTACTTTTAAAAATCCACTTTATACAAAAACATCTTATCTGTTAAGCCTTACTCTGTTTTAATATATATTTTTTTAATAGCTGCAGCATTTTTCACACCACAACTGGCTGATTTAAACATATGATTTTTATACGTCACATAAATCATGTTAAATTGTTCCAGAGACAGACATTCTTTACAGTTGCGAATTAATCTAAAAGGGAGAAAAAAGTCCTTCAAGTTTTATTTTTTATCTTTTATTTGTTATACACTGAATTTTATGAATTATTTACCTATTGAGAAGCACTTCACGAAACCATTTCGTTTTTTCAAGTTATTTAACAAAAATAATGGACTAAAAAATAATGATTAAATCTTTGTGTCCAATCCGGGGCCTGAAGGATACTATGGTAAGGACGATCTAACTATCGATTTTTATCTTTATTTCCAGGCCTTACCTGATCTCAGGGTTTGGGGAGGGGGGGGGGGGAGGCTTGAAAAGGAATACTGTTGGTGTAAAATCTTCTTCTTCTAGAGGTAGAATTTCTACCTTTTCAAAAATGAATTCGTTAAATACAGTTTTAAAGCCTTGAATATCAATCACATATTTAACCATTTTCAATCTTGTATGACTAACAGACAACTAACAATAAGAGGCACTTATAACCTTTTTTTATGCACTATACGTGTATCATAGGTCTTTTATTTTACTATTACTAGGCTGTGCCGTTATCTATGTTACCAGACAGCTTAAAACATATGTCAAAGCATCGTAGGAATCATTTGAGGACGTTAGCAATCGGTGTCTGCAACTTGGAGCGACTTTTGATAACTCTGCTAAAGCTGACCGTGTAAAAAATTTTGTGATTCATTATGAAACAGTGCGAGTAGAATATCGACAACTGTTGAATGGTGAAAATACAAGAAAATTTCAGGATAAATTTAATAACTGTGTGATAGTGCTTAAAAGCATCAAAAACATATTAGCAATCTGTGAAATTGTCGTCACGCATTAAGCAAAAATTACGAAATCTTAAGTGTCTCACAAAAACTTTTTACAAACATTTTTTTTTTTTAATTGGAAACTGAAGGACATGGTCTTGGTACTACATCAAGGTATAAGGACTATGCTTCTGTTATGTGGAAATAACTTGATACTGCGTTTTAAAATCGCATAAAAATTGGCTTTATTGTAAATAGCAGGCACTGGAATGTGGGAATATTTCTCAACTGTCCAGAAAAAGAGTTTGTTTTCAAAGTGTCAGAAATTTTAAATAAGCAGCATGCTTTAAAAATTAATGCAGTTTTAGCAGCAGAATTTGTCTTTGTAAAAAATGATACAGAGACTACTGAAAATGAGTACTTTGAAACTAAGTCGGAATATACTTTTCATACAACTGATTTGCATGAATGGTTTGAAAAGAATGTTTAGAAACCTATTGCTACCGACATTGATGAATTTCAAGAACGAGATTCCAGATGAAATTCACCAGTGCTTTAAATGGGCCATTTTGATGGCAGTACATCATGCCAGTAAAAATGCGAATCAGGTCTCAAATAACAAAATATGTAACAACTATTACGATTTTACAGGGATAATATTTTTAGTGTAATCCAAGCAAGTACCGAAGTTTTAAAAAACAAAATGGTATTTTAGTTTATGTTTTTTTTAGGAAAGAGAAAAAACACTTTTAAGACTTTTCCCCTTTATTTGACAGCTAAAAAAAAGCCTTAATATGTTAATTTGTTACCCAAAAAAAAGTCAGTATATAAAATCGGATAATAAGGAAAAAACATAAAAAACGAAAATAAAGTAACAACGAAGATAATGATGTGGACTTTGATTTTTTTATCGCTGACAAATGCCATGTATGTGAAAAGTATACAAAAAATGATGATAAAATTTACGATGATTGCTATTTTATAGGAAAGTGAATATTTTTTATTGTAGAAAACTACGGGTATTGTCCTCAAGTCTTGGTATTAAAGATTACATTGAACTGATGCAGGGTCTTGATTTCTGAAGTAAAAAAAAATTCATAGATAAGTCTTAGGAGAAAATAATATTAAATTTTAGTTTTTCTTTAACTTCAGATATCACGGCCCTACATGTAATGAATGTAATCTCAAATACCAAGACTTGCGAACAATACCCGTAGTTTTCTACAACCTAAGGTACTATAATGCGCATTTATTTGTACAAGAACTCGTTACTCGCTTTCCTAGAAAAGTAGAAGTAATACCTCAGATAAAAGAAAAACATATTTCTTTTACAATATATATTAAGGAAACGAGAATTAACTTACGTTTCATTGACTCTTATGAATTTTTACTCTTATTACTCGATCAGTTAGCATCCTATTTGAAACAGCATAGTTTTATAGAGACTACTTTCAGTCAAGACGATAAATACACTATAGATTAAATTAAATTGCTTAAAAAAAGGAGGTGTTTTCATATGATTATGTAATATTAATTGACAAACTCTAAGAAACTGTGCTTCCATCAAAAAATACTTCTTATAGCATATTATGTGACGTACATATAAGAACTGAGGATAATATACATTCTCTAACAATATGGAAACCATTTCATGTAGAAAATGTTGGACAGTAATTAAAAGTATACTTTGAGACAGATGTGCTCCTACAAGCAGAAGTTTTTGAAAACTTTGGAAATAATTGTCCAGATGTAAGCAAATTAGTGTCTGCTCACTGTTTTAGAACAAAAAGCTTTTTTTGGGATGCTATGTTGAAGAAAAGAACTAAAGTAAGTTTAAATATGTACACAAATAGTTGGAACGTTAAAGAATAATTTTTTTCACGATTTCACTGGAACTCTTTACTGACATTGACATGTTTATGTTTATCAAAAAAGCATAAGAGGAGGAATAAGTCAGTGCTGGAACAGATATGTCACAGCAAATAACCACTATATGCATGATTACAGAAAAAATAATGTTGAAAAATATATAATCTATTTGGATGTGAACAATTAATATGGTTGGGCTATGACTCAATGACTTTCTTATGGTGGATTTAAGTAAGTCAAGATCGTTTACAAACAATCTCACGATGTTTATAAAATTAGCGATAAAATAATTATTGTTACATTTTAAAAGTAGATTTGGCTTATTCAGAGGTGCTCCATGATTCTTATAAGGACTACCGTTCTGCTCTAAACACATTTGAGCTACAAACTGAAAACAGAAAAAATTAATGACTACATTACACAATAAGCATAAACATGTACTTTACTATGAAACTCTCAATGAAGCTAAAAATTATAGATTAAGAGTAACAAGAAGTCATTGGGCTTTAACCTTTCAGCAATGTAAATGGCTCAAGGAGTATATAGATTTTAATAGTGATAAAAAAAGCTAGAAATGAGTTTGAAAAAATGATTTTCAAACGTTTCCATAATATTATTTTTGAAAAAACAATGGAGATTAAAATAAAGTGAATCAATTTTAAGCTTTTACACGGTTTGGATGGGCAAAACAGTGCAGGCAAGTATATTGCTAAATCAAACTTTTGTAGCTGCAATGTTTTTGATGAAAATTTCGTAGTGACTTAATTGCAGCGATTGAAAGTGCTGATAAGAAAGCTCACATACATTGAGCTTAGTGTATTGGATTTGTCGAAAACGCTTGTACACTGATTTCATTAAGATAATATAATGTCTAAGCGAAAAAATGATTGTAAACTGTTGTATACTAATACAGACAGTTTAATGTATGATATTAACAGCTATGATATTCATAAAGTTATAAAAGTTTCTTGTTCATCAAAAATAAAACTTTTTTTTCTGTAAAGCAGTAAGATTAATAGTATGATAAGGTTAAACAGCTGATGCAATATTGAAACATCTTTTATTTTCTTGGTCAAATTGACCATCTGAGGTAAGCTTATATTTCATTCCAGGAGGACCTTGACGACCACCTTAAGATTCAGCTGATCTACATCCTAATACACTTATGCCCATTCTAATACTGAAGTTCAGCTAAGAAATTTTAAATAAAGCAATTTAAACTAACGGTATGCATCCACCTTTTGTCTTGGCATGGGTAAGTTTTAATAACGGAGCAATAACATCATTGAATTTTTTTCTGTTGTAGATATAAAAAGTCTTATTTTTATCGAATCTTTTTATATGTGCACTTGAAGTTCTTAAGATATTTTTGTATTGATCTAAATTATCTCCTGTCATGTATGCTTTATACGTATGCTTTTCAATGAGTGACTCCATCAAACCATTAGTCATTGGATAACTTAGATTCTTCATTTGATTTTGAATTTGATTATATATGAAAGGAATGGATGAATCACCGTGTACATGTTGTCCGTTTTTTGTCTTCTTTTCCCAGAAATTCAATCTGATTGTGGCTTATTTTTTCTGTGGCAACAAGTATTTTTATAGATAAATTTATGAATAACGTTTCATTCAGGACATTCATCACTCATAGCGTTTTTTGTACGATCTTCCTGAAATTTCAACAGGATGCTCATAATGATGTGAGAAAGTCCCATGTTAAATTGGAGATCGTTTCACAACACTGTTTTTTAAATACCGGATGTTTAAAAAACTTCAATTTAACACGTAACCTTATGGACGAGTCACATAAAAATGGAATGTATAAGAAAATGGTATTTAGGATTTTTTCAATTTTTTTTGCATGCTGCAATACCATAATACTGGTATTATTCTCAATTTTTAGAGAGATTGACAGATACTCCTGTAATTAAATAAAGAAAACAGTGTCAGACGCCTATATATAGGTATACAAACGCATTCAAAACAGTTGCAGACTCTGCCGCATGCTCGTTCTTCTTTTACTGCACTCTCTACATTCTTCCTCTAACTGTGATGAACGTCCTTGATATTATGCGTTGAATCATTATTATGATAACTTTTCTCAGCATCAGTATCATTGTCTTTAATAACATCACTGGATGAAATCGTATCTTTATCATCACTGTTACTTGAAGCTGATTGAAACATCAATGTGTCGATATTTTTTTTTTCCTTTTGTTTCAAAGGCTTCAAAGGCTTCAAATGCTCTTCGTATTGAGATTCGAAACTTCGTGGTGTATTTTCTTTCTTATTTGTTTCATAGATGATCTTATAAAGTAGATTAGTAATAGGCTTGGTATTCTCACTAATTTGTTTTTTAAAATTTGCTTTTCTTAGTTTTAACATTTGATGCTCACATTTAACAGCTTCCCTCGCTTTTTTAATTCGTTGAAAAACGTGTTCTTCCTTATGAAATGCATTAATGGTCACCACTCGAAGAATAACCAAAGACTGATGCTAACTTCATATAGGAGAGTAACATTTATTACGAAGACGTCAAATCCTCTCTTATATCTACGATTATTTACCTTTTTCTCCTTGTATATTACGACAAATCCATGTTTTTTAACCCCCTAACATTTAGTATATAATTTTTTAAAGTTATTATACGTCATATCAATATTAATATTATCATTATACATATGTTCTGAATTTATTTAATCTTGTTAAATATTTACTAAGAGGTTAAATTTATCTCAGACTAAATGATTTGGAACATAAATATAAAACTGACAAAGATAGAAGCAGTCAACATTTTTGTGACGCCACTGACGCTAGTAGTAAGGAAAAGCTTTTTCCAGACAGTTTTATAGATGTATATTATACGACTGGAACTACAGGCGTGGCATGGGGTTCGTTTTTCGCTGACGTCGCATGACCAGAGAGGCAATTGGACTCAAACCAATTATCCAGTAACCTAATAACCCCGAGTATTTTTAAAGAAAATTGGCGCAAAGTTTTGTGCGTAATTTAAATATAATTACCAACATTGCTTGGCTAGCAACATTAGCTTTTTTCGCAGACCTCAAGTGACCCAATTTTTTTCTTTAACAGAAGGTTAGTTAAGGAGCCTCTTATTGACTGTGCCTTCTTAGTAAATTTACTCTCTTTTTTTTTTAAATTTTTCTCTTGCTAGTAACTTGAAATTATGATATTATAAAGGTTAAAAGAAGTGTATAGTAAGTGAGGTTTTTTGAACAAAAACTGTTAAAACTTTATTTGAAACATATACCGTTAAAAAACGCACACTATAAGCTTACATATGAGCGTATATAAATTCTAAAATGTAATATTCTATAGCAATTTTTAAACTAACAACTTTTAATCCACAAAACTTAAACGAAGATAAAAGTTAAAAGATTGTATTATTCACACTGCTTAACAATATTTATAAGCATAGGATTTACATCAACAATTAAACACCACTTGGTTTTTCTTGAGCAAACATTTTTTATTTATATACTTGTCAATATTTTGTCTCATCATGGAGACCTTCTCAAGACTCTCACTTTTTGACGCAGAGCCTACCTACAGTTTATAATTGAAAAAGCTCTTTCCTTTATTGATAAGATGCTCTGTGTATAAAATAAAACTATTGGTCTATAGTGCGTGAAGATTTGCGTAAAAAAATGAGAGTCTTGAAAAGGTCTTCATGATGAGACGAAATATTGACAAGTATATAAATAAAAAAATTTTGCTCAAGAAAAACCAAGTGGTGTTTTATTGTTGATGTTCACCCTACACAATGTTAGAGTTATCAAAAAACGAGCAAGTGGAAGTTCTGAGGGAGTTACTCTTTCCAATATTTATAGGTCTTCGAGATAATGAAAAAATTTTGAAATTAGTTTGCAAAATATTGTTTTTATTTAACTATATCGTAAAACAACCAATAGTTTAAAATTAAACGTTAAACACAATATTTCAATATCCTACAACGTCATTAATTCTACTTAATTTAAAATTTATGTCATTTAAAAGTATTTCTAAGCAGTACGTAGTTAACTTTACAAATACCATTTGAGAATTTTGTTCTAAAAATAAATTATCAACGGCAGAATAAAGATTTCCTGTAACATTTTTCGGTAATGTTGGGTAACATCGGTGTATCCACATTAGAAGTTTTTTTTTCCTTTTCTTCAAAACTTTCCGTGCCGATCTTATAACACTAAACGCAGGGGCCAATGTGTATCTGCAAAGACGTGAATCACCTACAAGATTGCTCGTAGCTAAGGTACTACGCCCATGCTTGACTTACATACATGCACGCTGGCCCATGCTGACTGGAAAAGAAATCAAATGAAATACTTTTCAAGGCGTAAAATAATAAAATAACTTTAGAGAAATAACAGATGCAATAGGTTAACTGGAAACAGCTGCGCTGGGATGTAATATTAGATAGTAGTAAATATAGATTGAGTGTGTTGAAAACTAGGATAACTTAGAGTTAAGACCCATAGACTATGGCTAATACAACCTGTACACGCTACACCATTAGCCGGCAACAATATTACATAAACCTACAAAAGCAATCTTATTGACTTTCAAGGAATTATCTGATTTTTACCATTCATGTTCACAGGCTCATGGTTTACTCTACAACCCTTTTGCATCGCGTTAACAATATCATAAACATACTGCAATAGCCCAAATTGTAATCTTGTTAAAAACTGTCCCTGTTTCAAATGTAAAGGACAACGGGAAAGTTATGGCACTTCCCCCTTTTCCTGACGCAGATATGTCGAGAGAGAGAGTCTGCACTCTTGCCCCCAACACGAGTAACGAAATTCCCGATTCGCCAGGGCACCCTGAGCCGACTTCCTCTCCTACGACAAGCATAGAAAACCATAGTTGACAAAACGCTACTAACATTTCGAAATAAATTTACAACTAACAACGAATGGAAACTATTGGTAAACCTAAGTAAGTTAACAATATAATAGTTCACTAATAAAAAAACAATAGTGTTTTAACCACGAAAACCGCTGTTGTTAATTAATCATTCATGATTATTTATTAGGTCGATCAATGCTCACGTGTACAGGTGTAACTAGCGGAAATTCTAGCAATTATTATAGTTATTAATAAATAAAATTAACTACTACTAAGACTATTAATACCACGAGATGCTGAACATCTATTCAACTAAACCTAAATATTAAGCGATTTTCACCGCTCTTTTTACATAGGGCTCGATTGAATGGGTGAACAATGGTTACTATTCGTTAATAATGATAATACCACATCTTAACGTTAATTTCAAGTTATGATAAAATCTTGTAACTTTTTGATGTAAAAGAGAAAGGAAGGGCATGAGTAACTGAATCACCTTCCCTTCTCTTGACGCATAGAGGAGAATAAGCCGGATGTGGGATGTGCCAATTTCTGAGTGGCTAAACTAGAGTAGTTCTAGCCAATTAGATTTTCGGCTGTTATCTTTTCTTCAAAATTTTCCCCGGAAAGTTATCCTGCGATTTTCGTGCCAGCACGTGACTGAGGTCCGCTTCTTTCAATAAAAAGGCCTAGAGGCCCAGAGGAAAAACAGTTCGCAGTTCAGAGTTCGACTCGACTCGACTCAGCTCGACGATAGGCCTTCAAAGTAGACTGAGTAGTAGGAGTCCGCCTCTGCTACAACCCACACGGAAAAAAGAATGGCACGGCCGCTCACCAGCAAAAGAGTAGACAGCGCACCCTATAGCTTGGTACAGTTGCTCACCGAAACTCAGGGCTCGCAGCGAGCCCTGAAGAGGCGAGCGGGAGCTAACGTGTACATATGTATATACACACATATCGTATAAAATAGCATGAGGGGATTTTTTGGCAAACTTAAGTAAAAAACAATACTCGTTAGAACCAATTCTTTAATGACACAACAAAAAAAATGTACATTGCATGTAATACATAATAACATGTAATACATAATTATAATCATAAAATATAATTTGCACACACGTAGTGTTTCTCATTTATTTCTACTGATAAACAAAGCTCATTGATTGCTAGATTATCGTACTCCATCCAAATACCTTTAGCAGATTTTTAATTGCAAACGTAAGCGTTATAATGATCGCTAAACAGTATTTCTTCGTAAATACTTAGATAGAAATAGGTTTTTCCGTTTATCGGTAATATTTTTTTTATTTCACCGAACTCTACATCATTTTCCAATAAATTAACAACTACGTACATACCAGCTTTATAAACAATGTCACAAAT